ATATTGTGTATATATATATATATATATATGTATATTTTAAAACCATTCTGATCACAGAATGTCTTGGATGAGTACAAAAATTATTTAGTTTAAGGCAGATATGTAATTAACCAACTAAAAAACAGGTTTGTGCCTATAAATTATATTTCTACGTTTAACCAAAAGATTTTTGGTCTTAAATTCTGATGTAATTTTTGTTTTACACATTTCGTTGCGAAATAATCAATCTGCCTCTAACACGATTCGCAATACAAATATAAATAAATAGTTGCCCTTACATATTTTCTAATAAATGCTCAATGTTTATCTATCTTCAATATTGAACTTATTTTTGATTTCGAGGAAAGCTTCAATTTACAATCACAATTTCTAAGATTACGTTCAAATTTATAACTTATGATTATAATTTAAACGTACTTATTAACAGATGTTTTATGATATGCGTACTTCTAATTTCTTAATAATTAATCGATAATTCTCGTTGCACAAGATTGAAAAATTATGTAATATTCGTACAGCATAATTAAGTTTGTTCTTGGAACATTAAAATATATTATAAATCGGAGTATTATATTGCTATTATGGCCAAGAAGACTTTCCGAGTCTTCTCGTCGGTTCGTTTCGTTATATCACAATGTTTAATTAAAGACCAGCATATCCCTAGTATCGACTGAAGCTGATGCTTGGCTTGACGCTGAACTTTTCAATCCTATTTCACCGTAAGATCCTGAAGACGCATTGCTGGACGCATCGGCTTTTGCGGATCCTGATCCGTTAGTGAAGGCCGACGATTTGCTGTTTGCTGATGCCGATCCACCGCCGGATGCAATTGCATTAGACGACGCCTGTGCGTTAGCGTTTGAGCCTACGGGATAGCGAATCATTTAATTATGATCAGTCCTGACGCCACAGCCTCCGCCATGGACAACGCTGACGCCTTGGCCTCGGGGCTTAGGTCTGTGGAAAAATGAATACGAAAATGATTGATGAATCTCCGATGGACAAACAAATGCAAATATTTATGGATGTAGAGCTTCTGATTGAGTTGCCCATCGGAGTGTAGGATGAGTCTTTTATCATTTTTGCATCCAATGGTGCTTTCGTAATCCATGAACGAAAATATTAGAAATGTGCGTGATAATGTAATACTTGGTGTTCTGTAATATAGGGACTTTGATTTTCATTGATACTGAACGATCGATTTTCTCTCTCTCTTGAGCTCTCGGTCGTTAATCGATAATGATATATGTATAAGATTAAATAATTTTTCATCTCTTATATAATACGCGAGATAAATTATGCGTTAGAAATTGTTAGGATAGAGGTGTCGTTTGTTCGATGATCATTTGATACGATGAATTTACATACATGTAATAAGATGTTACGTGTCAAAGATAAACGTCAACGAGGTATTACATAATGACGATATAACGACTAAAGGAAGTTGTGCTTGTTTCTAATAAAACAATAAATACGTTAGTAACAATTCAAAAAATTACAAAAAAAATAATAAATTCTAATATTTATGTTATTTATATTCCGAATTTTGGGATTTACTGTTAACTTAAAAAAAATTGTTCATTTAGTTTCTTTTATAGGACACTGTACACAACACAGATTTGTATGTAAAACACGTATATATACCTCCTCCGATTGATCCGCCAAATCCGCCTTGATCACCGAATCCGCTTTGACCACCATGTCCTCCGGCATGTCCTGTTCCCTTAACACCGCTTCCGTATCCACTAGGGACACCACCAAAACTTCCAGCATTAGCATTGGCATTACTATTAGCATTAGCACTAGAAGAACCACCGCCATATCCACCGAGATTCGAAGAGCCACATTGTGCACATCCACCGCTACTGTGTCCACTGAGTGAGCCTTCACCGAATCCTCCGTGACCTCCAGATCCTCCGAGAATAGTTCCATGGCCGCCGGTGGCTCCGGCATTGGCATTGGCATTAGCGTTGGCGTTAGCGTTGGTTCCGGAAGAACCTCCAGCATGTCCACCGTGAATATTTGCACCATTATTTCCAAATCCACTGTCTTGCCCACCGAAAGAGCTTCCACCATATCCCCCGTGACCTCCAGATCCACCAAAAATGGGTCCATGTCCACCAGATTCTCCGATATTAGTGACTCCGGCATTAGCATTAGCGTTAGCGTTAGCACTAGATGAACCACCGACTTGTCCTCCAAATCCATTGTAATTTGGACTAGATTCGTGATCTTTATAACCACCAAGAACTCCCGAAGATCCGCCACCGTGTCCGCCAGAGCTAATTATCGGATTTTCTTTGATCGGACCTCCTCCAAAACCACCGGATCCAGCGCCCGCATTGGCATTGGCATTGGCGTTGGCGCCAGCATTGGCTCCCGCCGTCCCGAGTGAGCCAGGGAATCCTCCGGACAGTTGTCCCGGATAGGTGGTAAGAATGCCTTCAGGTTTGTTGCCTGAAACGCTCGAACTTCCTGCATAGTTTGCTCCTCCTCCGACATTTTGGGATGCGCCACCGTTAAGGAATGGATTATTGGTGCCTATTGAATGTTGTCCGATGGCACTAGCTCCAGCATTTGAGTTAACATTGTCACCGGCGTTGCCATTGGAATGTCCGCTGGGATTTAGAAAGGGATTATTACTGCCAATTGGATTTTGGTGTCCTGATGATTCTATTGGGTAAGTGCCACCATGTTGATATCCGCCTTGTTGATATCCGCCTTGTTGATGTCCGCCTTGTTGATATCCGCCTTGTTGATGTCCGCCTTGTTGATATCCACCTGGTTGATATTCATTTTGTTGATAACCATTTTGCTGATGTCCACTTTGTTGATAACTGTGTCCACCTCCGCCATTTGTACTTGCAATTGCTTGAGCGTTAGCATTAGCATGGGCGTTAGCATTAACATTTGATCCGGCGCCATTAGATAAAAACGGATTTTGTGTATATCCAGGATGGGTTCCTTGAACGCCGCTATTTCCGTAGCTATTAGCTGTAAAGAAATGTTTTTTTAAATATTAGTTTTTTTCTCGTATTTATATAACTAATAACATTACACATATATGAAAACATGTTGCTACAGATACTAAAACTAAATTATCACAAAAATCACGAAATTCATGCTCTCAGTCTCAGTCACGCATGATTTACGTCAGATTCTTAATTTCATGTCTCTTCCATTTAGAGTGCTTGTCATTAACAGGAAAACAAGGAAAATGCATTATCAGCAACGTCATTGTTTTTTGTCATCGTTACCGGAATGTTCTATTAAAGAACGTACTGATTTTCAATTTTCAACTCGATTGTGACACAAATGCAAAAAAAAATGTCTTTCAGTTTACATATCCTTGAATACGACTTCCGTTCGATGTAAAGTCTATGCAGGATGCTTCAATTGGCGAAGCGAAAAGTACATAAAATGAGAGAGGTGCATATTAATCACATGAATTAGCAATATGCGAGGAAACAGATGAATCACAGTATTTTGTGGTCAATTGTTATCCAATTCCAATTCTGTGTTATCAGTTAATTAGCACATGATAAGATATATATGGTAAATAGTAATATATGAAGAGTAACAGAAAGGCGATTAATTATGACATTACTTTCATGAAAAATTATATAAAAACACAGTGAAGAAAATTCATGGAGCTGCCACACCAGTTAGTGCATTTAGAATCTCAACAAGACGATAATTGTGCGATGATTTTCGAGTGTGCTCGAACATGAAGTGTCACCTGGATTAGGCTTTGGCTCCTCAATGATGATAACTTCAATGGGCTGCTGCTTTGGTTTACCATAATGCTGTTGACGATGGTGTTGGTGGCGATGGGGAGGACTCGGATGATGATACGGCGGATACTGCGGAGATTCCTCGACAACGACAATTACATCTGCTTTACCAGCTCCAGGCGACTGGTGAGGTATTGAATAAGCAGGCAATGTTGGTTGAGAAAGTGGCAGCGTATTTATGGGAATAACTTCTATTTTATCTATTCCTCCGCCAGGATACTTGTTGGGAATCACATTCACGCCGCCAGTACCTAAGACGTTAGCGTTCGCGTTCGCGTTTGCGTTAGCATTAGCATTAGCATTAGCGTTGCCAATGACTTGGGGTTTAGAAGGATAATAAGAGGGACCGACAGAATACCCTCCACCATTGGCGTTGACATTTGCATTCGCATTCGCGTTAGCGTTAGCACTGGACTGAGAGCCACCATAACTTCCGTAATTCGGTTGATTGACTTGATGAGAAACGTCAGGATAATAACCGCTGTTTCCACCATTATTGCCAAAATACCCCCCAGGGTTTCCCGAAGAACCTATATTAAAAGCACGTCATTAACGTGTTAATGATAATAATAATAATGATTATAATATATGTATATATAAAAATTTAAACATAAATCTAAATTAAAAAAATGTATTCTTAAAAAATAATAAAATATACACTACAAAATTCCGTTTAACCATTTAATGAACAAGTTTGTGATCAATTTCACATATACGAACTAATAGCTTAGTTATTTGAAACACTCGAATAATAAAAATAACTCGACATGCTCAATTTCAATTTTCAGAATGTTAATTCCTGTTATTAAAGTTGAATATAGTGATAAAAGGAGATATTCGAATTATATTATTATTCCTATTATTCGAATTCGGTTATCAAAACTATTCTTCACATGTTCAGATAAACGGAATTCTCTAAATTAGTGCTATAGAGTCTACAGACAGACAGTTAAAAATGGAATTTTGAATTTTGTCAAGACGTCTTGCTAAAAAACTTAAAAAGTCATAAGATCTCCAAGATATAAAAGCACGGAATATTTGAATAGTATTTTAAAGATTCACATGACAGTATACGTATATAAATAAAAAATATTTTAATATATTATAACTACAAAGAAACATGTTGGAGATATGTTTCCAAAGCATTCGCGAAAAAGTTCACAACATTCAAAATTTTAAAATTTCCCGTAAACTTTGGTTATTGTTTGAGTTACTTTAATTGTCATAACATTCATTTATTACGCGTTTTACAAAAGTTTAAAATTATAGCAATATGTGTTATGTACACTAGGTACGCGAGCCCACCTTGTACATTAGCATTAGCGGATGCTTGCGCGTTCGCGTTCGAACCACCGTATCCTCCATATCCGTCAGCATGAGCATCCGCTTTGGCTGAAGCTGAAGCTGAGCCACCGTCGCTGTTCGCCGACGCCGATGACACAGCTGAGGAGTATCCACCGCCGATACCAATAGGTCCGATATTTAGACTTCCTCCCAATGCCTGAGCATTGCTGCTAGCGTGGGCACCATTACCTTTAGGCCTGAATATTCCCAATGGATCCAGCAAACTACCAACGTTCCCACGGATCAAATCTAAGCCTAACACACCTTCGGAAGTGAAATATTATAAAGATTATCGAAAGTACTGAATGATAATGTTATTTATGACTTTTTTGTACGCTAATTTATTATCTAAAAAATTTATTAAATATCTCATAACACATTAACAGTATTTAAATTTACAGAAAAAATTGATAGTTAATTAATTTCTTTAATTTTTTGCAAAAGAAAATAGAAATCATTTTGATGTAACATAATTCTCTCAAATTAGACATTACGTCATCATTACATAAATATCTAGAAATCAATTTGACAATAATTCCTTTAAATTAGTCGTAAATAAAAGGGAAGAAACTTCCCTTTGATTTGAAACTCACCAGGTCTCGCAGAGGAGTTCTTAATCAATAGCAGCACCACTACTGGCACTAAACACCTAAGTAACTTCATGACTGTTTTTATTTTCGCAAATAAATGATTTGTCTATCACACACAGTAATCCTCCTTGTTTTATCTGTCTCGCCGATATCTCGATGGTCAGAGAGTCAAGAGCGACTGAAGCTCTCGCACGAGGACAACATCTTATATACGACACACGCGTGGATTTTACGTCGGATAATTGACCCTCTCTTTCTCTCTTGTTACATTCTTCAATATCATCGAGTGTCATCGTTTAGGATTTTTTGTAATTTTTTATTTCCATGAAATTGACGCCGATCCCAAGAAGCATTACGTTTTGGGAGCATATACTTTTACGCTTAAAATTAATGCAATGTTATATAGAGTCAGGTATAACTTTTATATTAAATATACCTAGACGATTTGGAGATTAAAACTGGTAAAAACCAATTAAACGACAAAAATTTTGCTGCTCGATTGTAACAGAATCGGTTATCAAGGATTGTTTATTTCGGCGAAGTATTTAACACATTTATACCTATATATGTATATAATTCTGGATTCCTCTGTCTCTGTTCAAAAATGGTTAAATGGAAACGATCTAATATAAGAGGTAACATGTTTTTATGATTTTATGTTCATATACACACACACGCTCTAATAAAAAAAACTATAAATATGTGTGTAAATAAAATAAAAGTATAGAAAAGAAGAAAAAGAATACGAAAGAGAAAAGAGAGGGTCGAGAGAAGCAATATAATAGAACAAGCTTCTTGTATTAAATTTATCTAAGTCAATTATTTTTATAATCCATTTAAAAGTAACTTATCTAAAAAAATAATTGCAAATATAATAAGCAAAAATGTTTTATTTCTGATAGAACAAAGAAATATTATTCTTGATTCTTGGTTCTTGCATAAGCATGATAAATTTAATACAAGAAAAATATTGATTCCCAAATAGCCTTAGCGACGTGGCAAAGTCATTTGCAATTTAACCAGTTAAAATGACATCTTGCATGCATGTGTATGGATTACATTGAATTTTGTCTTCTTTTTATATCGATGACTACGGTAATCAATACTCAAAGATAATTGAAAATATTTTTATTTTATTGTTTTTATTTTAAATTATATGTGAAATCAAGTAAAATACATTCACGTTTCTACCGCAATGATTTATGGAGACAATTATTTTGTTAAATATACAAAAGAAAAGTTGCGCTTTTTTTATATGTATAATTACACCAAAATTTATAAAATATGATTTTAATTTTTAAATACATCTTAAATATAATGTACGTTGTTTTAAATTTGATATAATGTCTTTTGCAAATTATTACTTATTACGTTGATTCTTCTAAAAAATATTTCGAGAATGCAGTAAAAAAATTTGAAAAAAAATTTGGCTCATAAATACGGGATAAGCAACAATCAAACGCAATAAATAAAGAATTATTGTTTTTTTCTCTATCTTTCTAAAAAATTAGCATAAATAATTGCAATCAATATCTATACGTAGAAACACGTCTACGTTGCCATCCATGTATCTAAAAAAAGATTGTAAATTATATTCATGCAATATAGCCGTAATCGAGGAAAATTAACAGAATTGATAATATCAAAAATTAATATCTTTTTTTATATCTTATATTATTCGTAACATTCATAAAATATAATAATAATTATTGTTAGAATAACTATACGAGAAACAACGATATAAAAATATGAAAAATCAATTAATTGGGGGAAAACCAATGAATGTACAGCAGCAACGGACTGATATTTTGAAATAAGGGAAATAAAAATTGCAGTCCTCGAAACACACTCTCCTTTGCTCTGACGTATACATTTTAATGGCTTCGGCGATGAGAATTTATATTAGGTCAAGGAAAGAAGAAAAAATAAGACCAAAAAGTAAGATAAATTCTAGTCAAGTTTCTTCGCGGATTCAATATATATTTTATCTAATTACATACTGCATACTCTTTATACATATAATTAAAATATAATATTTAATGAAACCTTTCTGTAACATATTTAATCTGTAAAAGTTCAAAAATGTCTGAGAGAGAAAGAGATTTTATGTTATATTTAATCTTGTATGCTATTATCTTTAACAGTATTATTTTTTTATTACATTATGTTCTTGAAAAAAAAGTTTTTCAAAAGGATTTCGCAAATATTTTATCGAAATTTTCGTAAAATTATATTACGTGATATTGTTAACATTTATTAGACACTTATTTTATTGCAAACTAATGAAGTTTGATCAATCAATCGACACCAAGCAGTATTCGATTTAACTATAGTCTCTCATATATAAAAAGGTATTTTTTAGATTCTATCTTTAAGTTTCTTAAAAAACCTGTATCGTTCCGGTTCCTCAAGGTCAGGTTCAATGACATTGACGAATTAATAATTACTTATAGAAATTTTTGCGTCCCAAAAATCATAAAATTTGTAAAAAGTCATGACTTTCAATCAATAACAAAATATGCAAATAACAAAAGAAGTTATTTTTGTTTTAACTAACTTTATAATTGAAAACGAAAATTATGTATGTCAATTATATAAAATATTAGGAGAAAGAAGTATATCTTCTTTTTTACGATATTCAGTTATACTTGTCTGAACAAAATTTATGAATCAAATTTTTGTAATAATACATATGTTAATAGAGTTATTAGAAGTTAGTATAATAGAAATATAAAATACATAATATAAAAAAACTTGTAACGTGCTTTATATATATATTTTTTTATATTAATGCTTATTTCTATTTTAATTGTATTATATGATTGTTAGACGATTTAATGTTGAGTAGTGTTAGAATTAATTTTATTGAAAATGACTGATTATATATTTTATTGCGAAACGAAAAAAATTATTACTGACTTTTTAATAGCCCTTGACTTCATTTTGTTTATTTTTATATAGCGAGTCCTTATTTCTTTTTTTTTTATATCAAAAAATGTTATTACTTATAAATGGAAACTCTAGTAATTTCTGAGAAAGAAGAGTAAACGAAAAAATAAAGAGTAAAAGAAAAAATAAGATAACGTGGGAATGTTATTAATTAAATTTGTTATTAAATAATATACGTAAACCTCTTATATAATTAATTCCAAATTTTCCTTTTAGTTTCCGTTTTAGAAAAGGGGAATCCATTGATTGTAAATTGAAAACAGTGTTACTCAGAATTAGTTGAATAATCAAATTTTCGCTCGATTTTGTTCTAAGTATATTCAAGCAAGTGACTGGAAAATAAACAATTATCTGTGACGATAATACATCGGTCTCATCGTTAATCATAAGCACACGCAGATATAAGTGATGAGTCTCCGATCTCGAGTTTGTGGTAGTATTTCGTTATTTCCATCTGCGTCATCATAATGACGACGAACGTGGACAAGCTACTTGATTCCTGAGTGTGAGTTTTTTTTCAGCTTATAACTTTGTAAATCTTTAAGTTCCAATTTCATATTAACTGGCCCATGAAAGATTTATCATACATTTCAACAATTGGGTAATGCCTATGATGTAGCCGAGGTAAACTTGTTATTAAATCTTTTTTACGTTTTACCGTAAATTAGGCATGCTATTTACAAAATGTTAACAGCATACGTTTCTACTATGAATCGTACATAATAATAATTATTTTCAATAGAAATTAAACAAAAAAAAATAAAAGAAATTATTACAAGAGACATCTTAATTAGTAATTTAATTAGTAACTTGATGCTAAGAAAGATACATGACGTAAGAAAACAATGATTCGATAGATGCTGTGAAATGAATAAAGAAAAATTAAATGTGTGAAGACAGAAGTCAACATTACGGCATAAAGTCACATAATGAATACAAAATGTAAATCTTGAGTATTTCTAATGATTCACCTATTATTATGGTGTAGCTCAGCGAAACAAAATTTGGCGTTGGTTAGGAAAATCCAACCACTTACGTGCTTTAACTGCGGTATCATCGGTATTCACTATACTTGACAATACACAACGAACAATGATGTAACTAACGTATTCCCCTCGTGGGCAGCAAACTATGTATTAATCATCTATTGTTTAGAATTAAGTTGTTACTAATGTCATCAGTATATACAGAGATAATATCCAGCACATCATGTATATCGCATACTTTAGTCAAGATGTTAATTCATTTCTAAAATTAATTTAAAGTTACATATATACATATATATATATATATATAGTAAATATATATATATTTTTTATACATATGGTGCTAAAAATAAACTATTTAATATTTATATGGTAAATGGTACATACCATACTGACAAGTAAAAATGCTTTAAAAATTCAACCGTTTCTAAGATAGATATAAACAATTTTAAATGTTAATATTACAATTAAATGTCGTGCTTTCATAAATACCCAAAAGTGGGATCTCTGTAAAATTAGTACATTTTATTAAAATAAAAAAAATAATAACAATATTTCTAGTTGGTATTAATTCCATCGTTTCTCATAAAAATAAAAAAAGTTCTGCAATTCCTTATACTAAAAAACCAAATTTGAAAATATGACGTGTTAACTTAACGGATTTAGCATGATATTTCCATTCTAAAATACAAAAAAAAGGTAAATGTTTCCAACTTTAGCTACAAATCCCGTTAGTACTATATATATTGTATATACACTCGATGTATTAACATATCTATATAATTTGAAAATAATATTCCAACAATTATCAATTTTAGTATACTTTAAATATGTATTTACCTATATAATACTTTTTTCAAAGATTTTTATTTATATTTTATAGTTTCTATTAATTTTGAAAAATGAAGAGTGACTTTGATCTTAACAGTTTATATTTATAATTAAATACTAATTAAAACAAAGCTCTCGATGTCAAAATAATAATAAGAAGAACGTAAATGGCAGATCCGAGAGTTGTTATTAAATAGAATTAAGAAATTAATTACAATTACAAAATTAGAAACATAATTAAAACAAATCAAACTACATAACATGTTTCGGCTCCTGGATTGAGCCTTCTTCAGACGTATAACCAAAC